CCTAAAGAATTGTGTTTCATGGTAGAATTTGGAACATAAATCTGACAGATTATCATGTAATTATTTTACTGCTTTTTTTATTTAATTTATTGCCCCTGATTCCTCAGCTTGTAAGAATAGTTGGACCATTTAAGGACACGAAGCTACAGGTCATGATACAGGAATATGAAAAACAGTAGGAAAGTACAAATGTAAAGATCTCTACTTGATAGGTTAGTGCTGATCATAGACTTAGACAAGTGTCAATCTGATGTTATCCTTTCTGGCTCCAATAGCCAGGATAAGTAAATGTAGTGGAGAGGTCTCTGACAGAGAGACCTTTCAGTAAAGGCCTGCTAAGCTCTCTTTTATGATACAGTGGAAAACACTGAGTCCCAGTGATGCAACTGATGTTTGTTTTTTTCCCCACTTGTTTACAAGCTGTTGTTTTGAAAGCTTCAATGAGACTTTTGTGTTGCTAGGATTTTCTTACTAAAAGTAAACTACAAAATATATTAGCAGTTACCATTTTGTAGTCCAGTAATTATTATTTTTTTTGGTTTTGTATTCACTCCCTCTTGTAAAATTTTGTTCCTTTACAATGCATTTCCATACTCCTTTGTAAGACTTCAGCACCAAAACATAGAACATGACTTAATGAGTCTGACTACTTAACTAGTGTCATGGTCAGCTGTATCTATTACCAAGTAGAAACAGTTGCTCACAAATGTTATCTCAGTGATGATTCTTAGATGTGAGTGTGGCCACATTTCAGCTGTTTAACACCTGCCAGCTGATGACTTTATTCCATATTGACTTTATTCCTGCTGGGAAAGGTCTTCCAGCGAGGAGCTGCTGTCTGGATTCTAGTCAAGGTTCAGGGATTCAGGAGCCTACATTTATTTAAGTGCCTTGGAAATTTATCCAAATTACTCTTGCCATCTTACAGTCAGGAATAGAAAGGCAAAAGGCCATGCCCCAGGCAATATGTAGCATTAACTTTTTAATGGAAAGGGTAAGAGTTCAACTGTTCCAGGTCTTTCTGCTGCTGCTCCTTTTCCTTTCACAGTTAGTTCCCTTGTTGCTGTCTTGACAAGGGGAACTTGAGGGCTAATCAGTCAGTTGTGTTAGTGGAGCAAAAACTTTGAAAGTAATGAATGTAAATGTATGCACTGAGGTCTTCTTGCAGTCAAAATGTTAGGCTTTCAATTCTAACTTTGAATGTCAAATATTTAGAGATTTGAAGCTACAGCTGGATGTTAAAAGCTCAGTAAATATCAAAGTAACAAGTCATTTTCATCTACCTGTTTTTGAAAAGCAATTAGAAAAATCTGAATTATTTAAAAAAGGAAGGAAATTCAGAGCACAAACTCATCAAGGGTGACTTGTAGACACAACTGGTGGAGATTTTCAATAGTACATGTTCATTGCATCTATTTGCTTAATTGGTACTTCAAATATCCAGCAGGAAATGAATGTTGAGTCTTTTAATCAACACTGTCTCAAAGTAGAAGAAAAAGATCACAGGGGTAGTTAAAACATTATCCACATCTAAAGTGTATTGAAAATGGGAACTGGAGAGCTCAAGGGTATTGATAATGGGATATGTATCTGTCTAATATAAATGTATATGTGCACACAGAGCTTTTTAACTTAATGCAGGGCTGAAAATAAGTTGAATGAATAAAAATTATCAAGGTCAATTCACATTACAGTCTGTGCTAATTGGCACTTGTAGCAAGACTGAGGCAGTCTTCTCCCCTCTCATATGCTGCTGTATCTTTACTTGACATCGTTTATCTCTGTGCTTTTTAAGTAAATAAATGGTTGGAGATTTTTCACTTGCTGGTGGCACTGGGAGACGTGGTCGCGCTCAGAAGAAGGTAGCTCGTGGGGTGGGTACCCTTATCTTCCCAAGATGCCAAAAGAAAACCGTGGCACTGGTGGAGGCGCCGCTAAACTCGCCCTCTAGTGACAGCGACAGGGTTTGCTGCCTGTTTGGGAAAGGCCGTGAAGCTGAGACAATTATTCCCCAGCTCCTTGTCATGATCAATTAAAGAAATATTATGGGGCCATTTAAAAAAACCCCACCAACCAACCAAGGAAACCCAAACAAAAAAAACCAAACAGCAAACATATGACATTTTTATACATTTTAAAAGTGTGAATTCCACCCTTATACCCCAGTCTGACAACCCCGAAGAGAAGGTGGTGAGAAAAGTGCCTGATTTATTACAATCATCTGGATCAGGGAAGTGTGCAGTAAATTCCTCCCACCTAAGTACTGAATGTATCTTAGTTTGAAACATGGAAGAAAAAAAGTGCTTCTGTGCCTGGCAGTGTTCTTACAAATGGTTTTTCTGCAGTGATGGTGCCTCTTTAGGAGCAGTAGGCACATTTGTATGTTAACTTCGATAAATCACAGGCAGAGGTGTCCAGTTTTTAAGAAACAGTTGGTGATAAATCAGTGTCTTACAGCTGAAATGCAGGGTAGCTGTTGTGGAAAGAGTATCCCTGAAGAAATAAAACTGCATTTAACTAACTGGTACATACATATCTAGAATGTATTAGTATTTACTCAGGCAGTTGCTTAAATTTAGTATTAATTTACATGTAAACTAGAGAGTAGCACTGACTCAGATCTAGTGTGTGCTTTGTGACATAAATGTATGGAGATAAAAGCTGCAAAGGTTGTAATCGTGTGCTTGGTCCCTATTCATTCTCCAATCTTTTGTCTGCATTAATTTTCCAGTAGGCAATCTTCAAAGCAACTGGTGCAGTGCACATCTTGTTTTGTCAGTGCTAATTTTCTCTGCCCTTGCAGTCTTTTTATCATGTGCAGATCACTGATGCTGTGTATGATAAGAGAATATAATTTTTATTCCTTAAGTAGGTTGTCAGGGAAACTTGCTACCAGGCTTATTTATATTTATATATTGCAAGATGCTTTAGCCACTGTGTATGAAGGAACTGGGGATTCAGAGATATTTTGATTTTCTACATGTGATTAACTTTCCTGAAAAGAAGAAGAAGCATTTGGCTTGGCAAATACAACATTGTTCCAAAATCAAATAAATGAATCCTGTTTTCTTTTTACAGGATTGTCTTGTCCTGTCTGTCTTGTCTTGTCTTGTCTTCAGTATGGATTGTCACAGAGAAAATAGATTATCATAGCACATTGAGCAAGTCTAATTGCCTATTAATCTTCAGCTTTAGAGAGAAGGCTGAAGTCTATGTGCCTGTCCTATCAGATGTGGAATGCTCTGGCCTTGAACTAGAAATAGGTGTACACATGAGCTTCATAATGGTGAAGGGAGTGGTCCCTATGATGATAAAGGCTTTGCTAAGCTGGAGCTAGAATGCAAGACATAAGCTTAAATGAATCTAAAGTGTAAAGGACTTGGAAAAAAGGTATTTTGAATCAGCTGAAATTCGTAGGCTGTGTTTTGGTTATGGCTTGTAGCAGAAATGCTTGTTGCATTTATACTAAATTCACACATCAATGAAAAAAAATAAAAATTCATTCAGTTTGACTGGTCAGAGCCTAGTTTATAGTTCCCTATGAGCAGGTTATTTCTTCTGTCCTGAAGATACGCAAATTCTGATTTATTAGCTATGTGTCACGTGGCTCAGCTGTGAAAACTCTGCAGCAGAAATGCTCTGGTATGCAAAAACCGTGTTGTGGTCTGTTGTCTCAGTACTTACAGCAATGATGTACATCGTGTAGTCTTGGTTGGCCCCTGCACTGGGCCATGTGGGATGCTCCTAGCTCAGAAGGGCTGGTAGGTAGTTTTGTGGGTATTGCAGTTGCTGCATTTGTAAAGTGACTGTGACACAAAAAAGCACTGGCGGGTGAGAACGGCTGCCCTGCTTAGAGACTGCTTGCACCCCAGGGGAATGGGGATGTCTTGCCTTGGATGAATGAAGACAAAGGTGTGAAGCTTTACCAAGGTCATAGTTACAGAGTATATTGAAAATAAGTAAAACATATACTCTTTATTGTATATAAAAGGCTGAGTCTTCAGTTTCTGCTTTCCTGGCAGGAAACTTGTACTTGCTACTGTGTACAAAATAACTTTCACGCTTCATCCCGCTACCTGAGAGCAGCAGTGTGGCAGCACTGAGGTACGGCTGTGGCTACCTGGCAGGGCTACTTTGTGCAGCACAGGGCTCTCAAGGATGTGCCTTCTGCAGGAAAGAGTCTGTGGGGTATACTTTTGCTCCTTGCTGCTAAAGAACAAGTCGCCTTTAAAGATACAAATAGAATCATAGAACTGTTTGGTTTGGAAAGGACCTCAAGATCACCTAGTTCCAACCCCCCTGCCATGGGCAGGGACACTTTCCACTAGACCAGGTTGCTCAAAGCCTCATCCAACCTGGCCTTGAACACTGCCAGTGATGGGGCAGCCACAGCTGCAGGCACATCTCTGAATCCCTCAGGTTCTGCGACTGAGGTTACTGACAGCTGGATTGGGTCCTAGGTCTGGAGGCGATGTTTCTGTTAGACGTCTTCATGTTTGTTAAAGAGCTGTTTCTTTCTCCACCTTTTTCGACCTCTGTAAATCTATTCATAGATCACAGCCAGGAGTACACCTTTCCTTGCATTCTTTTTGAGCTTGGTTTGATGGCTCATGTAGGAATTTTACCATCTTGAGTGGATATTTTTTGCTTTCTTTACCTCCCTCCCCTCCTTTCTTTTAAAGAAACTTCTAATTTTAGTTTGCAAAAAAATCTTTAATTTTGCATGCTGGCTGTCTGGGAGCATATGGATCTTTAATAACCTTCACAACATGACGATTCGTATTTATAAAGTAAATTAGGAGAACTTCAAAGGAGGTGTTGCTGCTTTTTATGTCAATAACAAGTTTTATTTTCTAAACTTGTTGAGAGCGTATTTACATAACAGAAGTCTGCAACTTCCCAGGAGTTCCTGGAGCCCAATAGGGCAGTGCTACATTGCTTTCCAGTTTCTGGAGGGCTTCTCCTTGTTTGAAATGCCTGTGTTTTTCTGTAAGAGCCTTTGTGCTGTTGACAAGCTGTCAGTGTAGCCTTCTTGCGTTTGCAAATCTCAAAGGCCTCTACAAAGCTGGCCACAGTGGAGCTGTGCCACCCCCAGATGAGGTGGGTGGAGGAGAGTTTAGGAAAAAGCTTAGTACAGACATGATCCAAGATGATAGCAATCCTGCAGGTGTTTTACATCAGTACGTACGCAAAGTATTTGATCTGAGTGCTCTGTCCATTGCAGAGGTGCTGGGCTCGGGATGTCCCTTGCACAGGATGTGGTGGCACCAGCCCCATACAGGCTGCACACTGCCTGAGCCATCCATCCCATCTCATCCAGGCCAGCATGTGGATATGTTCCTCTTGCAGTCTCCAGCCCTGTGGGGATGCTGGATGTGCCAGCCTGAGTTTTGGGCACCAGTGATACATCCAAAGCTGGCATATTCCCAACAATCCAGGCAGATTTATCTGTAATGGGATGACCAGTCTCTATTTCAGCATTTCTGATACGTGTATTGCTGTAGTTCCGGGCATTACAGGGTACAATGCTCACAGTGGTTCCTCTTTGGATAATATCTGTGGGTTGTCTTTTTTGTGTCAGGGAGCAGAAAGGAAAATCAGAGATGAAGAAAGGAAGCAGAACAGGAAGAAAGGCAAAGGCCAGGCATCCCAAGCCTCGTGTAATAACTGTGAGTAAAATGGGCCTTTCTGGTTTGGAGCTGTCACACTTAACATGCCTCCTCTCATAACCATGTTGCTCTGTGATCCTCCTAGCAGCTGAAGGGAAGTTGAGTGCACTCCCTCTGCAAAAAAAGAGTGATATCACCTTCTTCAAGACAATGGCTGACCTGGATTCCCAGCCAGTTCTCTTCATACCGGATGTTCACTTTGGAAACCTACAAAGAACTGGACAGGTAGGAGACAATAATGAGAGGAACCAGTGCCCACCTGCTGTCTGGCTCTTGTGCTCTAAGGCTGGGTTTAGGAAAATAAATCACTGTTCCTGGGGACCACTTGTTTGAGCTCTTGTTTTGGTAAATGCAGCTCCTGGTGAGTCACTTAAAAACATCTGATGAGACACAAGTGCCTTTCCAAGGTCTGGGTGTGAAAAAGGAGTTTATGCTTCATTAACAACTGACTAGTTTGTGTTTGTTACGGTTTTGACATTCTTTTGCTAAGAAGAAAAAATGAAAGAAGTAGTCACAAATTTTGTTACTGAAAGAGAATGTGCTATTTGGCTTGATGAGATAAAGTGCCACCTTGTGGTAGCAGAGATCCCCTTCCCTGTCACAGCTGAAAACAAAGACCAAGCCCTTCCATGTGTAAGGAGGTCCAGAGTAGGCTCACTAAACACCGCTGCCGATTTTCTGTTGGTATCACCTGGAGATCTGGGAATTTCTTGTAAGAAAATATTTTCACTCTACAAAGTAAAAATCTATCATGCTAATGTTAATATTCAGTATTGGCAGTTGTTATCACCAGTAAATGTGAAGAAGTCTTGGCTGACTTAACTCTTTTTAAGACCTACTTTATTGCTTGCTGGGAAATTGCAAAACCTGGATTGGAGGGTCAGCTCTGACAATTTTTTGAATACAAACCTGTTATTTATTAACATCTTGGAGAGTAGAATGAGACCTTTGTGCATGTGTTTATAAAGACATATAGTAGATAAGGAAATTTTATGTGCGTCTTGCTGCAAATTATTAAAATAATGAAGTTTAAATGACACTGAGTGTTGGAATTGTCATTTTATTTTAAAGCAGTGAGATTTGTGGTAGAGCAAAGCACAGGGAGTGCAGACACTGCAGTCGCAGCTGTCACTGACTGACTCTCCAAAATTGGAAAGACACCCACTCACATACATATCAGTGCTGGTACCTTCTGTCCTCATGGCTTTCAAACCAAAATGTGGATTTGTCTCAAAACAGGAGAAGGTGGAAGCATTCCTTAGTATATATAATCCTGTAAATAATTTTCTAAACTAACTGAAGATGCCCGTATTTGCTAGCTCTTAGGCAATGTTCAACCCTGTCTCTTTTACTGCTGCATAAATTGAAGTTTTGGCATTCTTGCTATCCTGAACTTTCCAATTTAGTTGTATATTACTTAATATAAGAATGATTTATTATTATAAGTTTACTGTTTATGAATGTTTTATTATGAAAGTGTAGCCACTTTCAGGTCCTGATCATAGAATGAGTTACAGACCTCAGCTTTGCACACATACAACTGTGAGTTATTTTCATTGTACAGGTTCAGAAGTGAAGAGCCGAGTGTGCTCTCGAGTCTTGCTAGCACAAGTGCTGGAACCTGCCTGAGTTTCCTTGCTCTGCCCACTTGTTGGTGCAGGCACGTTGTGAGGAATTTGGTGGCTGATTGTTCTGTAAAGCTTTCAACAACACACAAATCACAAAGCTTTTGTGATTTTATACCTCCCCTGCTGCTAGCTGTGTCTGCTGCTGTTGTCAGTTTGGTCTCAGTGACTGTGAGCTATACTGATTTGCACAAAACAGCGGTCTGGACTTGAGCTTCTGCCCACACAGCACAGTTCTGGTACAGTTCAGCTGTACCATTAGTAATTGTATTTCCATTAGGCCTGTAGTTTAATATGTTAGTCTTCATAGTTTAATTAGATTTTCAGACAATATTAAATACATACAAAAAGCCTGTGAGTGTTGTGGCTAAAATTGTATTAGGAGTAATTCAGGTGAGCTGTGATCTAATTTAGAGGATTGTAAAATAGTTGGGAAAATGATATAAATCAGGGAGCGGGCAATATCTCTCAAAATGCTTTGGTATCTTTCCACTAGATGATATTCAACAGCAGTTTTTTCTGAGCCACGCTTTTTCCATATCACAATTAGAACTACAGATGTTTGTGTTTTATAGAAGGAAAAGGATTTTTAACAGATAAAAAACCTGCAAACCACTTGTTATCTTTTCTCCTTTTTGAAGTTATTCTGATAAGCAGGTGTCTGAGTTTTGGGAATAACTGTTTGTTTGTTTCCCCACCCTTCTAGGTTTACTATAATACAGATGATGAGAGAGAAGGGTAAGACTTTTATTGTATCACAAACTTTGCAGTTAGCAGTTCAAACTCATAGAAAGCAGATACAAAACATGAAATCAGATAAAGCTGATCCCCTTTCTCCCCCTTCCCTCATGTTCCCCAAGCAGTAACAGTAGGTGAATAATATGTATAGAACTGGTAGAGGGAGGTTTATTTTATAGTAATTCTCTTTTCCTTCAGGTGAGCTGGCTGCTTTTTGTATCTGTTTTTTATTACATTTCCAAGTAAAATATTTTAAAGAACCCTAAGGTTTAATACAGGGACAGGACAATATATTTGATAATAAAGTACTTTTTCTTATATATATATATATATACACATATATATATACAAACACATATATAAATGATGCACTGAATTTCACTGCATTCCTGAAAGCTGTTTAGCAGTGCACATGTGTGTATGTGTGCAGCAAACATAGGAACTGCAGAGAGAATGCCTAAGTGTGCCAGAAAAGAAAGGTGGAAAGAGAAGGGGAGATTCTGGGAAGGGAGATGGTTGGAAGTGGGAGCATCCCCTGTTTGGCTTTGGAGGGACTGGAAGAATTGCATGAAGTCCCTAAAATAGTTAAGAAATGTCATGAAATAAAGGCTTTAACGTGTGTGGCTAACGTTCAGCCAGTGTTAACTGTAATGTGTAGAAGCTTGAATCCTGAGCAAGCACCTTCAAATCCAAGAGCTTGGAGTAGTACAGCTCACGTAAGCCTGCAAGAAGTGGCCTGTGGCAAGGAGTGGCCAGGCACCTGCAGCTAACATTGACTTGGAAACACGAGGCCCTTTTTGTTTCTTTTATGAAGTTAATGTTCATCATAAGGCTTACAGTGGAATTAGAGAAACAAAGGGGTTGAACTAAGCACATTGGCTTCAGTTCTCTCCTCAAAGACTAAAAGGAGACACCGAGTCCTGCCAGAGCTGTGCTGAGGGGATAGGGCAGCTGTAATGCCTTCAGCTTCCCCAGCAAAGCATTTCACAGCTTCGGGCTGGATCTGGCACAGCGTTTTATTCCTTTTGAACTTGCTGGCATGTATGGTCTTGGATATTAGAAATGTTGCTGGTGTTACCTGAGGTGGTCTCCTTGACCCCAAAGAGGAAGTGAATCAATGTGAAAATGTGGGTTCAACTCCTTACTTAGCTGTTTCTTCCTCCCTACCCCCTTCCCTCAATATTTAAACAGTTAAGGGCCTTCGGGGTTTTCAAAATAGTATGTAATGTTGAAATATATTTCTCTGTCACCTGTCCCAGGCAGTCAGTCTGAGCAATCTGAGACACCCAGAGAGTTCAGTTAAGCATCAAAAGCTAAATCCTTGCAGTCTCTGGTCTGGTGCTACTTGGGTAGCTAGTGTGGGTTTTGCCAGAGTACAAAGTGAGTCATGACTGCTGCTGTAGTGAGTGAGTCTCCTCCCCTGCTGGGAGCACAGTTTTACTGACATGGTCCCTTGTTGTGTGTTTTCTAGTAGCAGTGTCCTGGTCAAAAGGATGTTCCGGCCTGTGGAGGAGGAGTTTGGTCCATCCCCTCTGAAACAAATGAAAGAAGAAGGTCTGAAAAGAGGTAACAATTCTTAACAGTTAGAAGTAATGCTGTGGGACTCATGACTTCAAGCTGCAAAGGGCAGGTGTGGGTTGGACCAAGTCAGTTGTTTGACACTAGTCAAATATGAAGTGGATGGCAGAAGAGATCATTACACCTGCCAGTATACAAGGAGACATTTAAACAAGTCCTAGTAATGACTTAGAAACAGGAAAAAAAAGAAAAAAGGACTGTGCTAGCTCAAGAAGTGATCAGGAGAAAAGTGTATATAAAATATAAAAAAACTAGAAAGCTTCTTGATCCTTGGCCAGGCTACATAGTTCATAGATGTTCCAGTAGCAAATCTGTCTATTTTTAGCTTTTGCTCATCTTTTCTGTTCTGGATGGGATCACAAGCAAATACGCAAGATGCACTGGGTCAAATAGAGAGACCTAACACAGGCAAGCTCCTACTGACTGCACACTTGGATTAGCCTGAATAAAATCTCAGAAATTTCCTACCCAATTAGAAATATAAGGCATGGAGAGACATTGTCCAGCAGACCTAACTGAATTGTTTAGGAGTTTGCTTCTCTTAACTGTTTTTACTACCCTGAGTGAATGTTGTTATAATCATGTTTCATATGCTATACTGATTCCAGTTTTCCAGTCTGCTATGGTGAAGTTTAAATAGAGTGACACTGAAGCAATGGTTTAGGTAGAGCTGTTAAACTTTGCATTGAAGGTAAGGATGAGCAGATAGTGATTTTTGTCCACAAAATCTGCTTTGTGTATGGTCACTTCCAGTGCAGTGCTATAGGTGATAACTTCCTACACTGCCACAGTTAGACACCCTGGAGAATATTTGCCATTCCTTCAGTGTCATGAGTTCTGTCATGTATGTTTATTGGAGACTCCAGGGTTTTGACCAACTCATATAACTCAAACTTGCAAATGTTTTGAGGTTCCTCCATCAGTTTGTGAGACAGCAAAGCAACAAGGCACAGAAGTAAGCTCAATTGTTCTTAGCTGCACCATTTCTAAGACTTATATGAGCTTTAGAGAAACAGCTTCCCATAAGCATGTGTGAAGTTTCTTTGTTGGTTAGGGTGGTGTTCTTGAACCAGGGGAAGCATACAGGATTACAGGATGGAGACAGATCCTGGAATAAATGTGAACATATTCTTTTTTTAAATAAATCCTCAGTGAATTATGTGGGGTCAGCACTGACTGCAGACTTGCATCTGGTTGACTCAAGGCATTGACCAAATTCACACTGTCAGGGCTCCATCAAGCAGAATTGCACAGCTGCAAGGGCTACATAAAGAACTGTCAGAACCAGAAGCCTGGAATGTTTCCTGCAAGGAGGTATTGGTTTGCTTTGATTATTTCTGCCCTTTGCTGTGGTAAGTTGTTTTAATATTGTCCAGGATTTGCAGCCATTTCAAGGGGAAGATTTGAAAGAAAAAGAAGTTTTTCAACTAGTGGCAGAACTATGTTAACTAATTAAATCCGGGAGAGGCATGGAACCAGGGAAGCTGGAGGATGCTCTCTTCACATCCCCTTGCTCTTCAGTGTTTCTTGCAATTTGGACTACGCTGGCTGTAGGCCAAGCCTCTTCCAGCATGGCCTTTGCTCTTTGAACTTCCTGCCATCAGGAATCCTGCATCTGGGATTGTGCTGATGGAGTGCAGCTCAGCTGAATCTGCCCATTTGACAGTACTGTCTTTGCCACAAGAGTCCTTAGGAATTAAAATGTTCCGTTGTTTTTTCCCAGGCTTAGCCATACTAGAAGCTGGGTTTGTTCTCCCAGATTTGTTTGTTACAGCAGAATCAGTAACTCTTAGATGATTAGGTATAGATGGAGCACTGGTGTAATCTTCAAGAGAGAGCAGGTCTGATATGTGAAAATAGACATTAAAAGCAATGTAATCCCAAGGTGGCTCACTATTGGTAAGTATCACCCAGCGAGGGGTTCAAGCCCATCTGAAGAACTGAAGTGACAGTGTATGGCCTCGCCTCTGCCTGATGGACCTAATTGTAGTACTCTCTGGTGGAATCAAAAGTATTAAGTGGCAGCATTCAAGAGAACAGGTCTGAAGGGGTTTGCAAACCATTGGTAAAACAGGGTTCATATTCTCACACAGGTAGTTGCATCTTTATGGATTATTCTTTCATCTCCCTGACCTCTAAGGAGGATACAAGTGCTCAGTGCAGAAATGTAGAGTATATTAATCTCTAGCATGTGTGCAGTGCAGCTAGTCACTTGGCTAGGCTTGTGGCCTGTTCCTGTTTTGAGTTCTCAGTAAGAGTGTTCAAATCACTTTCCCTTTTGGATTTCATAGGGAGTTCCCTGTTGATTATAAATCCAGCAGCCGTGTTGCAGATCAGGTTGATTTCCAGTCCTGTAGTTCTCAGCTTGAAGAAAGTAGTATTTTTGTCTGTATGTTGAAATCTGTATTATTAAAGGGAGCACATCTAGAACATGGTGACAGCAGGATCAGGGAGCATTAAGTATGAGTTGTATCACATTGTCACAGTATTGGCTTGGCATTCAGTGGCAATGCTGCTGAGCCCAGTAGAGCCTTTACAGCCCCTTTCCCTCCATCCTGGCTGTACTGCCTGCTGCATGCCAGCTGGCCTTCTCTCCATGGTTATGCCAGCATGAAGACTTGTGGGGCTGCATTGTAAGCTGAAGCAAGGACCTGATTTGTCTGAAGAAGAACTCAGAAACATCGGCTGTTTGAGAGAGTTCATCATCCAGGAAAATTCACTGAGATGGGCCACAGTAACAGAGCATAAGGGCAGGGATGAGACAGGAGCTTCTTAAGGCATCACTGTCTCAGAAGTTATTTATGGAAGAGTGCCCTAGTGAATCATAGCTGGGATTTTCACACCTGTCGAGGGAAAGAAAAAACCAACAACCCCCCCATATGTTTACTAATCCTGGCACTCTGTGTGTATAATAGTGATTCAAGTTTCCTGTTATCCTTGTAATGGATCGTTCAGCATAACGTTGCCTGACACACCAAGCACAACAGAGAGATTTAAAGCTCAGCACATGCATTGCATGATGTCCCCAATTTTAACCTCAGACCAAGTGATATTTTGCTCCATTCAGATATGTTTGTAATTATTAACGCTGGCAGAGGTCCAGATGATTGAAAACCCAGGAGTTATAGGACAACCCTCTAATCACAAGGAAGGAATTACTGAATTAATAAAAGTGCTAGTACAAGTAAAGTTAGCACTTTGAGCAAGTGCTTTCCCATGCAAGTAAATGTATCAGACCCAATAAAATCTAACTACTGATGCAGATTTTTTTTTGTTGTTGTAACCCAACAGTATCTCAGCTTCTAAGCCCTTTGAGAGAACAGCCTCAGGCAGCCCAGCCAGAGAGGCAGGGGACTGATCTGCTCATATTTTAAATCTTTATTTTCAATCATTAAAAAACCTGGTCAAAGAAGATACAATTCTATGCAAATGGGCCTGAGTCTACCCTGCTACAGTCTTGACCTGAAAGTTAGGTTCCAGACAACTACTTTCATATTAAAAATACCATCATCTCTGTCATTTAGTCTAAAGTCATCCATGGAGTTACCTGGTGAGGAGATCTTTTGGACCACAGTTTAAAAAGACATCTTTTTCTGTGTACCAAAAAAAGAGAAAGAGATCATTACTGAAGCAGTTTGTCACTCAGACATAAAATACCTAACAGTGCATGCGTATTTGTACCTCACATGCAGCACTGCTATTTGAAAAGGCAGTTTATTTAGGCAACAAAATACATTCTGGAACATCTTACTTAACCTGCTACCTCATCCATCATGCGAGATTATGCCTAAACCACTTCTCTAGTGTTTATGTTTATTCACTTTGTAGCTGCCTGCTTTGCTTTTGCCATGTCAGCAAGTTTCCCCCTCCTACCTGTACAAGTCAAGAGAGAGAACAGAGCTGGAGAGGGCAGAGCACTGCACCTGTGACCCACTAAGACCCAGCAGGATATCTGAGGGAGAAAGAGGAGATCTTCAGGGGTACAAATGGCGTTTGGGTACCTGAGCAGGTGTGGGCACACAGGCAAATGCCAGCTGTGCTTTTGAATGTCTCCCCTGTAGAGTCTTAAATGACTTTGGACTTGTTCTTTCCAGTGTTTATTTTCAGACTGGCCAGACCCATTTGCAGTCATCTGTGTGGTAATGTCAGAGAACTATTTCTTTTCCTTGTTGTTGATTTTGCTTTCAAAGGTTCGGCCAAAGGCAAACCAAATTTAGCTTTTCTGAATGTCCTTTCCCAACCTTTTGGATGAAGCCTGGAGAGATGCAAGATGAGACACAGGTTTAGGAAGACCTAGCACGTGTGTTTTGTTCTGACCCAAGGACAGGTCCCTAGTGCTTTTTTAGTTTCTCTGATTACAGTAAATGGAGGTTGAAATTCTGGAAGATACAGCTTCCTTACATTAAATTTGCTGCATCTTCTTCGTGTGTTTTCAAAGCAACTATGATGTGTCTTCCGTGTTTAGATCACTAATGATATAAGAGCATATCTTTTTAAAGTGCAGAACATCTTCAGCGCTTCATTTTGTCTGACATGGATTTGTTTTTCTACTCGGTGTGGGTTTGTTTCATCTGTTCAATTGACTGAACCTGCTCCAAGTTTGCCTTTTTTTGTTTCAGTGCTTTTGTATGTGAGGAAGGAGACAGATGAGGTGTTTGATGCTTTGATGCTGAAATCACCCACAGTAAAGGGGCTAATGGAAGCGGTAAGTATCTGATGTCCTCACATTGTTTGTCTTTCTTAGCAAAAAAATCTTGAGGCTTTCAATGTATTATTGAGATAAAACATAATCTAAAGATGAAATTATTCTTAAATACATTTAAAGCAAGAGGCTTTCTGAGGCATGCCTCTGAAATGCTGGCATGTTCTGAATTCAGTGCTGTCAGCAAGTTGCTGGGATTAAATAGTGTCATAGAGCTGATTTATTGGAGACCTGAGCCTTAAGGAATGGAGGTTATTAACCAGTTTTTGGGAAGCAGGGGGGTACAGGCTCCATTTTTTGAAATGCTTCTTTCTGAACTGATAATTCAGAGCCTGTTGAAGCTTCTGTAATACCCATTGATGTGTTCACAGCTGTCTTTTAAGGAAGAAGCCCAAGGATGCACTGTTTCCACGTGAATCTATGTGGCTTTTGTGCAATTGCTGTTCTAGCATATGAGAAGCAGTTGCTCAGCCAGTGAAGAGCAGTCATTCATACCTTCAGTCTCAAACTCCTTCTCTAGCCCTCACTCCCAGAGTGACCTACCTACCAGCCTGCCTCTTTGATGATTATTTGACTTGGATTTTTTTACTTGTGACCTATTAGTTGTGATCATTTCCACATTTAATCCTGTTTGTATGAGCTGAAGGCCAGTAGATGTCTGAAATTTGGGAAGGGAAGAGTTAAGAAGCAACCACACGTCTCACTTCAGTGAGGGGACTAATGTGTGATTGATGTATGGGACCCAAGTTGATTTCCAGCCTTGGTTACATGTAGGAGAGAAGATAGGAATGGTTGAAAGTGTCCCTGGAAAGCTCAGCTGAGTGCTAGAAGTGTGTGTATTCATACTCATAAACTGTCACAGTGTCTAGTTGCATGTGGGTACTTCAAATGCAGTATAAAACTGAGTTACTTGGTCAGTATTTGGCCAGTAGCAGAAGGCAAAATAAGATCCATGGGTTAGTGAAGTTGTTTAAGGCACCCATTCAGATCAGGGTATCTCTGAGGAGAGTCAGCTGCATCCTAAGGATATCCTAACTGTGCTTTCACCGACACTGTTTGTTAGCTGTGACTGCAGCTCAGTTGTTACGCAGAATACACATATATAATAACAGCCAGGATTCGCTTGAAGAGGCTACAGTCTGATTCCTGATAAGCAGTAACGAAATTCCATCTTGTCTTTGTATGGAAGTTAAAAGCATGTTATAATCCTTCTATAAGCCTTCAAGCTAACATGAATATTTTATCTCCATTAGTCTGTGCCTCTCCATGCCTATTCTTCAGCCACTGTGTAACATAAAAACCAAGCTGGTGCAGAAGCAGGAAAGGTTTCTGCATACCTCTGTCAGCACAGCTGCTGACTCAGTGGCATGTTTTCAGCACCAGAGAAATCTGATCTGTTGTAAAATGTCCCAGTTCACTGGAAGGAACACATTCAGAAAATTTTAATTCTCTTTGGTACGATAATGTGGATAAATCGATGCCAAAAAGCTGTCAAACTGCATAATCTTAGATATTCTCTCTACAGTCATTTCAGCATGCATGTAATTTTGTAATTGGGCATATCCTAAATGCTTAACTCTAAATTCAGTACTAAGAACTTAGAAACTGATGATCTGAATATTATAGAGCCCGAGCTATGAAAGACAGCACCAAGGATCCAGAACCAGACCCTCCTCCTTTGTTTATGGATTTTACTTTTTTGTGTATGTGTGTGTTTTGGTTTTTTTTGGTTCGTGGTTTTTTCTTTTTGTTTTGATTTGCTTGGGTTTTTGTTTTGGGTGTTTTTTTTTAATCACCATTCCTGGTCTGTGGCTTTCTCCTAATTTTCCATGATTAATGATACTGCTTTCTCAGATACTATGTTTATTTTATTCTCTCATATACCCCCATTCCAAATGAAAAATTAAATTCCTTCTTGGATTTCTTTCTTCTGGCAGATATCTACACGTCTCAGGTTTCAGAGGTACAGTACATCTCAGAATGTGATGCAACTGTTTGGCTTTTTAGATGTTTGCATCCCACTCTAGTCGGTCTTGGTCAACAGAAAATAGTGAAGCGATTGCCCATCACAAATCATCACACACATCATGACTGATCAGCTCTAAATCCTGCTTTCAGCCTGATCCAAAGTCAGGTTGATTTTGTGGATCTCAATAGGTCCCCAGTCTTACATTGTGTGGAATCATATATTTATTCAAATTTCAGAAGGCAATCTAAATTGGGAAATTCAAGCATCTTCCAAAGTCTTGCTAAAATTACAAGTGAACAGCTGAGCTCAACAGAGCTATCTTGGATTGAAATTTAGTAGATACCTATCTATGTATGTACCTTTCCAACCGAAGTAGGCCAATAGACTGGACCATTCCATAGAAATAAGTTGGCAAAGATGTTTTCCTGTGTGCCTCAACCAGCCCAGATGTTGCCCTGTCTTCCTGACTCCAGCAGAAAAAGCATTTCTGGTGGCTTGTGCAGTCAGATATAGGCTACAGACAAACTTGCCATGCCAGGGGACTGCAGCCAAAGGGATACCCTGATTGTTATTTTAGTGCCACTCTGAAGGCTGTCCCACTCTGTCAGGCATCCTAAGAGAAGGATAGAGTTCTTTGCTCAGAAGATTGAAGAATGGGCAGTGGAGATTATAAAGGAAAATATTCCTCCGAATAAAGATATATTTTTAAATGTTACTGAGCCTGGGACCAGGTGAGAAATCCTGTTGTTTTATATGGAAGTTGGCAGAAGTGGTGTTCCCCCTGAGTTGGCAACAAATGTGTTTCAGAAGAGGGTGTTAAGTGAGATGCCCTAGCAGATGCTAGCTCTCTGCTTTCTCAGATTCTGCAGCAGGACTTAGCACATTTGCACTGGAGACTTGTTTTCTGAGCCTGTGAGGGGGAGGCTCTCCCACACCCCTACTTCCAGCCTTGCTTCCACAGCTTGCCGTTTGGTATAATTGGTTGAATCCTTAGGGGTTGCTGAGAAATGTGCTTATTCAGTCAGCTGGAAGTCTTTCACAAAGCTCACTAATCCCTGCATGTTATATAAATCCTACACCTGTCATAGGCAGTGTGACAGGCAAGGCTTTCTCAGACCTACCTCTCATAGCATATGTAGGAAGTAGTGTCGCAGAGTCCCAGACCACTTTAAGCAACATTTGGAATGCATGTTAGGTATCCCAAATATCCTAGGGAAGTTTTATGCTGGAATGTGCAGAATGTTGTATATTAGCTGCTATTAAACCTTCTTGGCACAGGAATGTTTCTCCTTGCTTGTGTATTTGCATGGAGTCAGTGAATAGTGTCTTCAAGTACCGGTCTTTCTAATAACACTAGGCTTCAGAGTTACCAACCCAGAGAGGAAGGTATATTGTTTCTTTATGTTTGCACAATTGTGACATTTTCTGCAGTTTTTAGGTTGCAGCTTTTCTCTGATGCCTGTCATGAAGGATTTTTTCAACAGTCTGGTGATGGTTGAAATTTTATTATTGCTTTACATGAAAGCTTAAATTTAGGGTTACAACAAAACCACAAAAATTCAGCACCAGATTGCTTATCTGGCGTCATTCTGTTCTTGGTAAACAAAGCTAGAGAGTGAGAAAGAATAAAGGGAGAATATGAAAGCCTCTGAGAACTTTTCTAAGACAGTTAAGATTTGCCCTCTCAGTGTGGCACCTGGACATCCCACAGGAGTCACCAGTCTCAAGTCAGGCAGCTGCAGCTGGACAGCACAGGATGAGGCACTGAAGGAAGAGAGACTTGGAAAGATAGTGGTAGACAGCGGCAGAGTGCGAGTGGAGGGGCAAGGTGTGGTTACCTACACAAGTACTTCTGGCTAGAGGTAGGTGATTCCTTCTACTGGGGATCATGCCCGTGGGCCCTCCCTTGGATTTATGTGTGTAGGCTGGGTCAAGAGTTCACAAAGACTAGGTGGGGCACTCTGTCCCATCTGTAATGGAGAGTAGCTGGAATAGGTTAGGGCATCCCATGCAGGGTTATGTCAAACCCTGGGTTCAAATCTTATTCTGCCCTGTTTGGAGCAGAGACTTGAGCTTGCTTTAGATAAGCTGTGTAATAGAACTTCTCTGTGGGATGCATTTCCACCCTATGCGTGTGGTTACGTAGCTTTTCTGTAGGCTACCAGAGCCTTTTGCATAGGCTACAGAAAGCTCAGAGTGAAAAAGATTGGTTTTGTATTCTGATAGGATGCTTGATATTGTGGGATAAAACAAGTGGTGTGAAGGCCCTCTTCTCGTAAGTGTACAAAGTGGACCACTTCCAATAGCAGGGAGAGTGTGACCCTATGCCGTATGAGCTTGCGCAGCCTTGATGCTGAATTAGGCCTCTCCCAAGGCAGGCGAGAACATGGAACCAGGACTACCATCAGTATATCTGGTACCACATCCAAAGTGGCAGTGAAACATGCTGGTACGAGTAAAACTGAAGTAGTCAATACAATCCACAGTTTAATTTGTATTTTATTCTCTGCTAGGTACAAAACTTAAGGAGTGGATGGGGAGCCTTATCAGTTACTCCTTACTTACATCCTCCCCTTTCTGTTAGCCACATGTGTACACTGTGGTCAGAGGAAGCTGCAGTGTAAAAGAAGCTTTATTGGTTGTTCAAAATCTTGAAGTTATGCTATACTTTCTAAATACAAAATTGTATCTTAGGTGAAATGACAATTATACAAATATAGGTGATGTAGGCAAACACAGGCTAATTAATTCTCTCTCTTAGAGAATTCTGCCTCTCAGGATGGGCGCTGTGCTTGGGTTTAATCTGTGGCTGTTTGAATCTGTCCTTCGTGCTGCGTTGATCCATTGCTTTCTTTCCATTTTCTACTTCATGGTAATTGCTTTAATTTGCTTCTCTAAATTATCACTTTTTCTCAATGGAAGTCTAAATGCAAACACAAAGAAAGGATTTCACAGTGACTGATGTTTGGCAGTCTTTAAGTTGTGCATTTTAGTTCTCTAATATGAAAGATAAAGAGTCAGCTATTTAGCTGCAACTTCATTTCACCTGGGAAGAGCAGGAAACATACTTCGATTGGCAGTGGAATAACACAGAACATTAATCACTGACAAAAAGTCATTTTTCTGTAATTATTTTCTGTTATGGGACAATCATTTTCTAAAGTATGAGCTGTGAGACCTGTTTCCTCAAGGAAGAGTCATAATTTGGAGAGGAAACATGGCTCAGATAGAGGGCTCAGGGATACCATCTCCACCACAGGCTCAGAATGGACGTCCAAAAAGATTACACGCTGCTGCAAATGCAATGCCAAAGCACCCCAGTGAAGTGCTTGTTAGTGCTGGTAATTTGTCAGCTAAGTAGTTCTTCCTTTTGCTTGGTGAAAGAAGCCTTTGCTTCCATGAGCTCAGAAAATCAGAATAAGAAACAGCAGAAAGGCAGCTGATCAGATTGAAATTCCCTGATAAAGTCTGAAACTGGGAAGAGTGTTGACTCCTTGATGCTGAAGCAGTTCTGATGACTCACACCCTATGAAAACTATAATCTCCAAGTTTCTAGTTTCTGGATGGAAATGATTGTGGTTTTTATCAGGATGTTTAGGATTATTCTTCCTGAGTCATCCTTAAATGAAGCTATGGTATGGTTGCATGTGACTTTTCTGTATAGCTATCCCATCAAAATTTGCAGAGATAGTGTTTTAATGCCTTATGTGAAGTGAGAGGTGATAATTTCATATTTGACATTAGTCTTTAATGATATTTAATTTATTGTTATGATTTCAGATCTCTGAGAAATATGGACTGCCAGTCGAAAAGATTGCAAAACTTTATAAGAAGAGTAAAAAGGGGTAAGTGAACTAAGGTCTGTTGCAGGATCCTTTAGAAGTACTTGGAGATTGCAACTACGCCTAGGGCCTCATGATGCTGGGTAGCATAAACACTTCTAGGAGACATGCCTGTATGCTTGAATTCTTATTGTCTATGGAGACAGCAAGGGAAGGCAGAGGAGGAAACATGAGTCTCTAATCTCTGTCTGACCAGTGTTCATAGGCTTACTGTGAAGAAACAGAGTTTATGTTTGGAAAATGTATTTGGATAAAGTCTGTTTTGTAGACTATATGCTTAGCAACTGTGGAGCACTGGCATGGGAGAGGTGCTAGTGTGGAGTTTCCCTGCAGTATCAGGAAGAAGTAGGCCACTGTCTGAATCTGAAAGGCAGGCAGGCAATGTTTGCAGCAGGGGTTTCAGCTGAGTAAATTTAGACATGGGCATCACAGCTGTGATTTTAGAATAGCTAGGGTACTACTCCTCGCCATAAATCTAAATCTCTCCACTTTAACTTTTTTCACTTCTAAATAACTGTGATATTGTAGTGATATAATTTTAAATCAATCACTTATTGTCAGCTGTAACTCTAGCTTAGGGAATCTTTGTGTCTGGGGATTTCTTTAGCTTTTGAGAAGACAGGTGAAACTTCTCATGTTTTACTTCTTTCTAACACTGTTTCCAAGTGATATTTTGTTGGAAGAAACTCTTTACAGTAAAGAGTGAGGAAAACACTCATATACACTTCAAATAGTTGTTGATATTCTCACATCCAAGCTGAGTTCTAGGTCTGTGAGTTTAGCACAAATTACACTGCTTCCCCATGTTAGCAGCTCACACCGCAGAGGTGCAGCACTTCACACAGTGTGGCTGAATAGCAGCACAGAGGTGTACCTGGGAGACATACACCAGGCATGGGCAACACCAGCTACTGGGTCTGCCAGGGATCTGGAGCGCAGCTCACCTTGTAGGCGGCTTAAGTGTGTTAACATCCCAGCACTGGCATGTCTGTTACCTTTGGGAAGAAGCAGCTTCTAATCCAAAGATGATGGGGCACATCTTGATGATGATTCCACTCTTGTCCCTTACTGGCATGTGCTGGAGTTTATTGTGTTGTAGTGAAGCGAGCACATGCAGTGGAGTGCATGGCTTTCCCTTTCAGTGTCCTGGTACATAAAAATGACTGTTTTTGCCTTTGTCACCAGTATCTTGGTAAACATGGACGACAACATCATTGAACACTACTCCAACGAGGACACATTCATCCTGCACATGGAGAGCATGGTTGAAGGCTTCAAGATAACACTGACAGAAATTTAGCCTCAGGCAGAGCCTTTTCGTAAGGAACCACAGCATTTCATCCTTCTTGGAAAGCAGAAGATTCCCCAGGAACTTGACAGACATTAATCAGAGAAACTGTTACAAGACTGCTTTGAAAACACTGTCCATTCTGCACATGTGCACCCACTGCATATAGGCTTGGGTTTGTCAGGCACAAGGCCACTCATGTTAAACCTGGTCCCTTATTTATTGTTCCCCATTCTCTAGTGTATGAGCAGTTACCAGCCCCCAGATTTTTAACCAGATGACCCACTGCAAATGTGAAATGCAGCATTTTAATCCATACTTTAGTGTGGACAAGCTCATTCTAAAACATGTTAAGGAACGATGCTGGTCTAGTTTCAGAAATCTGGTGTAAATCACTTTACCAGTAGTTCTCTCCGTCATTGCTAAAAACCTGGTGCAGTGCTAAAGATGGGGAAAGTGGCTGACAGAGTTCACTTGCTCAGACTGGTCCATATCTCTCTCTAGTGTATAGTCTTGCCAAATACCTCTGGTAGTTCTCAGCACGTAGCAATGAGGACTTGTAAGTAAGGCATTCAGCTACAAATGTCACTTGTAAGTAAATGGTAAAGAAACCATTTTAACCTTGTATATAATGTTTATAATATGCAATAATATATTTTAACTACTGTATGCGGGCATGTTTACTGCCACTATGTTTTTGTATGTATTGGGTTTAGGGTTTAACAGAATCTTTCCTAGAGGATTAGATTGCTGCAATTTGTCGAGGAGTGTGTACTGAGAAGCTGATAACTGCATCTGTACCCATATGCTCCACCTTTGCCCACCCAGTTTTATGAAATATTGGAGCAAACTGTGCTACAGGGTCTGGAGTGCTCTGGCACAATGGGACCCCCCTTAGGTGCCCAAGTCCCAGCTGCAGATACCTGAGTGTCCCTCCAACTGTCACCAAATCCAGGAGGCACCACGTGTCTACTGCCTGGTGTGCCTAGAGGTATAGGAGGGTTATCTCCTGTTGATGAAATGGAGGCTCTCAAAGTGGGCTTTTCTTGAGCCTGTGGGGGGAAATGTGCTTTCTGTAGCAGCCTGCTCATTAAAGCGTTCCTCTAGACTGCAAGAAAAAGGACTTGAAACTCTTCTTCTTAAGGGTACTTGCTCTTGTATCTCCATTGAATGATTCTGGTTTGATTCCTAGGACAGTTGGGTGAGGTATAAACCTGGGCATGATGTAAATATTTTATCAGAACTGGAACAATTTTACCAGTGGAGACTGAATATCCCACAACTGAGGTGTGGAGATAGGTCTGTCTCACACAGGCTGGATCTGAACCCAAATTGAACTGCAAGGTTATCCCATCGAATTCCACCCCTGTCTCATGAATTCTGTCAAAGAGAAAACTGTGTATGCTAAAATCGTACCAGGAAAAGGGTTCAAGGCCTGAGTGTGTCTGTACTTTCTCCCTCCCTCTTCCTTTGTCATGTGCTTTTTCTCCTTCTGATGAAGAGTTTTGTAGTAATTCCCTTATCTTTTTATAAATACGTACTCCAGCAAAGATGCTGTTGCTACTCTGCTTAAGAGCAGACATCTTGGGAATGAATACAAGGGATTTATGGTGGTTCAGTTTGTTTCTGCTTGGCTCAGGCTGAGATAAAAAGTCTATGCTGACTTAGCCCAGATACTTTTTTCCTAAAGAAAAAGAGAGGACAGTTTTGGCAGGCGGCATTAGGAACTGGGGCCAGCACACAGGACTGGTGAGCACTGGTGAGCACTGGTGATAGTTCTTGTATTTTTCTGGGTTTTGATGGTGTTTGTGATCCTAAGGATATTAGTTGGGATCTGTCAGTTGGTTATGATGTCTGGGCAGAAGCTGCAGGTGAAGCGTAGGAGTAAATGTACACAGAAGTTGAGCCCTGGTTCGGCACCCAGAAAGCCTGCCATCCAGGCTCTCCCTTATAGGGAATGCCTGTGCACGTGGGAATGGCCCAGGTTGGGATGTGCTTCATTAAGAGTGAGAATTTGGGTTTCACAGAGGATAGGGATGTCCTGGTGCACCAGCACTCAGTCAAATGGGACATTCTTGTCTTACACATGGTTGGAGATGCACTGGGGTCTGTTGGGTGCTTCGGCATCGTGTCCCAAGGAGTGGTGTAGGATCAGTAAGAAATGCTGGGGCTTAAGGAGCTCTCTTTCCATTGCCATTTTAGGAGCTTTTGGTCAGGCGCTGTCCAGGGAAGGAAGGTTGCTTCCAAGATTAACTGGAAGCTTTTCTAAATACATCTTGAAGTGTGTGAATTCCTGGTACAAGAGAACTTAAACTCCTGCCTTTAGTTCCTTCTTAGAGTCTCAATGAAAGTAGCAGGGTTGAGGAAGATGAGTAGGATTTACCCTGATGGTAAGTTTATTTTTAAAACAACTAGACCTAGTTAAACATGATCTCCTTTAACTTTATTTCCTGTGGTCCAAGGGCTTTGTTTCTCTGCTCCAATGCAGATGCACCATGAGCACCTAAGACATTACAAACAGCACATCACATTACCCTGTGCCCATTCAGTTGCAGTTACAGCATCAGCTGCTGCAGGAGCACTGAACCTTGGATGCTGGTCCTGGCAAGCTACAGGCTCTCAGGGTTCATCTTGTTGGTCAAAACCAGGCTATCAAAGTGCTAGGGAAGGGCTAGGACAAATAATGCAAACTTCTGAAGCAGTGGCCTGCCTCATGCCCTGCTTGATTCAAAGGTCTTGAGGAGTACAAAGTGCTGGCATGTATATTGTTTAAAATATGCGTGTTGCTTTTGTTTAATGAAAAATATTAATGCTGGATCTTCCAAATATTATGAGTTAAATGAAAGTAAGAGTTGGCTGCTGTTCAGCAGGGCTCAGGAATATCTGCCTTGCTTCCTTTGTCTCTTTGTGGCGCTGCTGTGATTATTTATTTAAAAGAACAAAACTCTCATTTCCTTTCCTTCTTTGAGACAGCAGTCTTGAATCTGAACTAGTGCAGCCTGAAGGGTGGCTTGCTGCTCAACTTGTTTTCCCTGTGAAGAATTAGAGGAGTGCAGTGTCTGTAGGTGTGTTTTGAAAGAGTGATAGAGATGTGAAAAAAGGAAAATAGTCTTCAAAGCTCTAATTTTCATCCCTACTACAAATTTGGCACCGTGTCCGTCCATTTGATGTTTTATTATGAAAGCCCCTAATCTCAAATTTTAGTTTCTTTCTACATAGTCAGTTGCTGATATCCCCAAAATAAAGTGCATCCCTGCAGTGAAGCTTTGTTGATGTACAGTGGTGTCTCCATCAGGACATTTTGGAGGATTTTAACCACTGAATGTAAACTACAAAAGAAGAGCTTTTTTCTTTTCTGTGTGTCCTCTCTCATGAAGTTTTTGGTCAATGGAATTCAGAGATCAAGTGTCTTTCATGTATATTTTCCTCTTTTAGTCTACAAATTGTTTAAGTCTTGTAATTTAATTCAAACAGTTAGTAAAAACTAAACTCTTCAGCTGTCAGAGATGCTGCATATTGATTGATATGGAACTGGAAAGGAGTATCTTACAACTTTTAAAATGTAAAGCTTATGAAATGTTTATATGCTCTTCCACTTCCTATGAATTGAGACAAGACACAAACAAGAATGTTTGTGCCAAAGTTTGTGACAAGCCCTCTTTCTGGCAAGCAAGGAACTTTATGTATAAATAGTGTGCTTTTATATTAAGGAAATAGCTCATGTAACTTAATAGTGTTGCAAATGGGAGAGGGGTTTCATAAACTGTAAATACAGTTATTTTATTTTTTGTACATTTTTAAGAAGGAAGAAAATAAATATTCCTATGTATGAGAGAATACTTGTGTGCTGAGATGTGTATTACTACATACTGCGGCTGAGTTCCTACTTCTGTGCCCAGAAAACTTCAAAAAGAAGAAAATATAAATTCATTCTACTGAGGGAACAAGAACAGAGACTGAAAAAAATAATCACCAAAAATGGCTTCAGTGACTGGCCTGGTAGATGGGGGAGAGCAGTGAATATTGCCGACCTGGAGTTCAGTAAGGCCTTTGGTGCTGTCTCCTGTAAGATCCTCACAGAGAAGCTGTTGATGTGCAGGCTGGATGAGCAGACAGTGAGGGGGACTGAAGGCTGAACTGTGCCCAGAGGGTGGTGATGAGCGGCATGAAGGCCAGTTGAAGGTCACTGACTAGTGGTGTAACTCGGGGGTCAGTCCCAGGCTGCTGAGGTGCAACACGTGCTCCAGTGCCTGGGGATGGCCACCACCTGAAGCCAGGCTCTGTGCTAGGAGCCCATCCTCATCCCTGCCGTGGGGCAGAAGCCTTGGGCTTTGCACAGTGACATGCACAGGGCAGCAGAGGTGGTAAGTGGGGGATTTTAGAAGCCCCGTGGAACTAAACACCTCCCTTCACTTTGCCTTTTTTACTGTAATTTTAATGTTAGAGTGAGGAGAATGTACATCACAGGGTCTCTGGCACACTGGAAGCTTGTACAGTAAAGCTGGTCTGAAGGTGCACTGAGCACACAGGGTGCCTGGACAATGTGACTGATGCTCCATCCAGGCTCCAGCCTGTTTCAAGCCTGGATTAATGTGCAGTTCCACAAATAGTCTGGGTTTTTTTTTTAATCTCAAGAGGAAATAGGCACTGGTTTCAGTTACCATCCAGCAGGATTTCGACTACTTTTAGCAGCCTGGTGCTAATCCCAACTCCACATTTAACCTGGGTAAAAGTAGGTAGAAGTTTGAGGAGCTTAGGGAGCATGCACAGGAGCATGAGCCAGCCCCTCGAGAGCCCGGCTGAGGCTGGCAGGAGTCTCTGCTGTGGCAGGCTCTGGGGCCACCCCATGAGCCATGTTTCAAAGCAACCAACCACAGCTACCACCCTCCCAACACATGGTTCCTCCCCACATCCTGTCCTCTGACAGCAGCAAAGGCTTCCCTGAGGTTTAGTCAGTGGTCCATGGAGCTACATGAGCCTTTAAGGCTCTGGTGTGAAGGGAGTAACAGGGC